CTGGGCTCCAGCGATCCTTCCGCCTCAGCCTTCCAAATAGCTGAAACTACGGGCGCGCGCTACCACACCCGGCTAATTTTTGATTTATTGTAGAGATGAGGTCTCGCCAAGTTGCCCAGGCGGGTCTCGAACCGGCGGGCTCAGGCAATCCACTCACCTTGGCCTCCCAAAGTGTGGGATTACAGGCTGAGCCACAGAACCCGGCTCAGATTTCTCTTAATAGCCTTGATTGCCTATTTCTGGTGCTAGTATCTCCCTTCTGGTATAGAGAGGGCACTTTTCACATGGGTGTTTTATCTCCTGTTTTCAGGAAGAAAATGTAAGGTCAGAGTCCTTCTTGCACCTGCTGTTTTCCCAAGTAATTTTAACTCAAAATTATCAATATGCCAGAACGGCATATTTTGGGGTGGCATGTTCTGAACTACTTTGGGAGTCACTGAAGAATTTTAAGCAGAAGAGTCATAATAAGATCAGATTTGAGTTTGTAAAAGATCCTTCTGTGTTTGCAGTGTGGCAAATGGGCTAGAGAAAGGAGACACCAAAAAAGCTAAACTATCACTTTAATCAAAGAGTTGATAACGTGGGTCTGATCTAGGGCAGTAGCACTGTGGATAGAGAATATGAGATGAACTCTCAACATAAAGGAAATAAAATTAGCAGGCCTGGGATGAGGGATGCAAAAGGAATGACTCATGGGTTTCTGTTTTGGATGACTGAGTAGATGATGGCTCAAGGCATACGGGAGGCTCTGTTTATTTGTGGACCGTCCCTTCACATTTCTTATATTATTGATCCTTCCATGAGCTGTGTTAATCAAAATAGCTATCTTGGCAAACACTTGAAATGCCACTGCCATTGTGCATTTTAAAGTATTTTAATTCGGATAGGGGCGGTGGCGCAGACCTGTAATCCCAGCACTTTGGGAGGCTGAGGTGAGAGGATCGCTTGGGCCAAGGAATTTGAGAACAGCCTGGGCAACATAAGACCCTGTCTACAAACATCAAATAATAAGCCGGACGTGGTGGCCAGCGCCTGTAGTCCCAAGTACCAGGGAGGCTGAGGCGAAAGGAACGCCTGAGCCCAGGAGTTCGAGGCTGCGGTGAGCCGTGATCGTGGCACTGCAGTCCAGCCTGGGCAACAGAGTGAACCCCACTCAAATAAATAAAGCACCGTAAAATCCCTGTGTATGCGTGGGGGGGGGGACACGACCCAGCTCAGCCACACCCATAACAGGGTAATTCTGACGCCTAGCGCCAATAGGTCCTGCCTGAGTTAATGAGGGGACCTCACAGCCGTGCCGGGTGGAGTGAAGCGATTCGTGCGTCCCCAGCACCTGCCTCTACAATCATGCGTTGTCATTGCTGCCTCGCGTGAATGCGACCCCCGCGCCCGTACCCCCAGCGTGCAGGGCAGACAGCCTCGCAAGCCGAAGCTCCCGCGCGCGGCTATCTCTTCCGGCGCGCAGCGGACAGCCCTCTACGTCATACCGGCGCCGCGTCGCCAGGAAGGCCCTCTCCGCCTCCGCCCCTGTCCGGCGCCGCTTTCTGGAAGGTTCGTGAAAGCCGGGGACGCACGCCGTTACTCTGCGGCCAGCCGGAATCCGGCTCCATCCGTTCTTCCCGAGCCCGCGCAGACCCAGCTGAGTTTCCCATGCCCGAGAACGCGGTACCCCGGAGCGGGGCGCCCGCCGGGACTGCCGGCGGCCGCGGGAAGGGCGCCTATCAGGACCGCGACAAGCCTGCCCAGATCCGCTTCAGCAACATTTCTGCGGCCAAAGGTATCGCTCCCGGGGCCTGCGCCGCAGCGCTGAGGGGTCGTGCTTTGCACGTTCACCGTGGTCTTGTGTGGGGATAGCCCGTTTTTGGTGCCTTCAGGCGGTCCCATCCTGTCCCCCCGGTGGGAGAAGCTGCGCGGAGGGGCCCTTTTTTCTGTTTTCTGCCGATGAATCCCAGCCCGGAATATGGAGGCCTTTGGAGCTGCACATTCTGTATCTTAGTCTCCCGTGGTTTTTCATCCTGGGTTGTGTCTCATTCATCACTTTGGAACTGAAAGCAGCTCAGCCTCCAGTGCAGAGGATTTGACGCGTGAAGGCTGTCGCTTATCTGTTTATTGTAACTAGTGGGATGTTTGCCCAATGTCTTTCAGTTTTTTTGTTCTTACAGAAATGCCATTTAAGTAAACAACTCGGAACAGCTATGGAGACACGTTATAGCTCCGCGTCTAAATTGGGGCGGGGTCCGTTGTACTGGGATGTGGGGAACCGACTTTCCCGTCTTGTTAGGGAACAGTTAGGGAAAGCTAGAGTGTGCTTTTATGTTCTCTCTGCATGTGCCGTCAAACGCAAGCACTTCAGGAGACACGATTTACTGGTTTTTTAAAGTAGCGTGACACATGGTGGAAATCAGGAGGACCTGAATTTCAGTCTTCTGTTACTTCATGTCTTTGTGACCTTTAGTCTCCAAGCCAGGGATTTCTTACCTATAAAATGGAGGAAAATGTTTGCTTTTTAGAGTTGTGAGGATTAAAAGAAGTTGAGGGTGAGGCAACCCCTTCGGGTTCCCTCCCGCTGTGGGAGCTTTTCTGTCCTCTCAATAAATCCTGCTTTAGATAGATAAGATAGATTTTAAAAGTCGAGGTGAAATAGAAAAATTTGGAGGGAAGAATTAGAACAAAGGTTTAAGAGATCTTGCCCGCATGTGTATTGAGTATAGCGAGTATTTCCTTTGGGTTGGGGAATAAGATGTGTGCGGAAGGAGTGAGATTGGAAGGGTAGGTTGGGGCCGGATCTTGAAGGGGCTGGTGTCCTCGAAAGCGTTTGGTTTAATCTCCCCCAGCTGTAGATCATTAATTTAGGAAGAAGGTGTTGAAAGATAAATTTTTTGGCCATCTGGATGGCCAGGAGAGTATAATGATGTGGTTGATTTTCAACAGGCAGTGAAGATACAAAGCCAGAAACGTAATAACCTTTGAACCAAAGCACAGAGAACTGAAATAGCACAAAGGTGCTATGCACGTAGGAGGGAAAGACCACTTTAGTTATCTGTGAACTTGACTCCAAGTCAGACAAAACCCCACAAAGTGATTGAGAAAAACTGCTGCCAGAGGCATCTTTAGTTTAATTCTGGGAGCCAGTTTTTCATTTTGGTGTCAGCAAAAAAGAGATAATAGTACCATTTGTTGATGATAATCAAAGCCATATATACACAGAAATGTAGTAGTAGTTTTAGTATTATTTAGCACGAGTCATTTAATGGACACCACTTCATACCTACTTTCTGCTGCACAGTATGTTAAACTTCACACACGTTCAGACATGTAAGAAGTCTAGAATCTTTAATTTGGATAGTCTCTTCTGAGAGCCTTCACGTTAATGACAATGAGAGCATTCTTAAAATGAGTCCTCTAGTGGAGTTCTGGCCATGCATATCCACTAGTATCTTCTTTTTTTTTTTGAGTTGAGTCTCATTCTGTCACTCAGACTGGAGTGTAGTGGCTGCTCCTGGCCACTGCAGCCTCGACCTGCTGGGCTCCGGTGATCCTTCCACCTCAGCCTTCCAAGTAGCTGGAACTACAGGCACACGCTCCCACGTCCGGCTAATTTTTTGATTTATTGTAGAGATGAGGGCTTGCCAAGTTGCCCAGGCGGGTCTCGAACCCGCAGACTCAGGCAATCCACTCACCTCAGCCTCCCAAAGTGCTGGGATTGCAAGCTGAGCCAACGAGCCCGGCTCACTAGCATCTTCTAAAGACAGAATGCTGACTGAATAATTAGCACGGCAGACCAAAGTTTTGAAATAAATAGGATATAATCTTAAATTTATACAGGCCGGGCTCTGTGACTCAGCCTGTAATCCAGCACTTTGAGAGGCTGAGGCAAGTGGATTGCCTGAGCCTGCGGGTTCGAGACAACCTGGGCAACACGGTGAAACCTTGTCTCTACAATAAATCAAAAATTAGCTGACGTGGTAGCGCGTGCTTGTAGTTCCGGCTACTTGGAAGGATTGCTGTAACCTAGCAAGTTGACGCTGGGTGGTCCTGAGCATGCTACTGCACTGAAACCTGGGTGACTGAGTGAGACTCCAACTCAAAAAAACAAAAACAAAAAAACAAAAAAAATTATACAAGCTGTATTCTATTACATTCTTTAAGAATGTTTGTATGTTTATTGTCCACACAGTGTGGCGGGAAGCACGCTAGTTGTAGAGTCTACAAAAACGGTGATACAGTCCATCCTGTGTATGTGAGGCGATGTAATATGTGAGAAAGGGGAAGATAAAATTATTTATCCTGGACTAGGGAATGTTAATTCCAGTTTCTCTTAGAAAATAATTATAAATGAGTTAATAAAATAGAAACATTCTTGTGTGCTCATTAATAACATGACTTGAGTAGTTTAAATTGGTGGGGCATGGTGGCTCTTGTCTGTAATGCCAACATTTTGGGAGGCTGAGATGGGAGGATTGCTTGAGCCCAGGAGTTCCAGACCAGCCTGGGCAACATAGCATGGCCTGGTCTCTACAAGAAATTTAAAAAGTTAGCCAGGTGTGGTGGTGTGTGCCTGTGATCCCAGCTACTCAGGAGGCTAAGACAGCCCAGGAGATTGAGGCTGTGGTGAGCCATGATTGGGCCACTGCACTATATATAACCTGTGCAAAAGGCTGAGACCCTGACTCAAAAAATAATTAGTTAATATTAGCTTTAATAACATAGCTTTTGAATGGTAGATTGTACACATAGTGAGAGATGTTTTATAACATACTGATGATGACCAAAAGCTATGATTTGAGGGGTTTGGATTTTGTTGTTAGTTTTGTCATAGGGTGTATTGCTCTACAGCACTTCAGCTGTGGTTTGCTCTGTTGGCAGTGGTAATTATTGCTGCAAGCCATGAGTATACCATATACACGTTAATGAACAAAACAAAAATCTTCATTCTCAGAGTTTACACTCTAGACAGAGTCAACACGTAAGTAAGTTATATATAGACGGAGCGTTTCTGATTCAAAAAGTATTTGGTTCTAGTGCTTCACAATCTGAAACTTCAAGCACCAACGTGATGCTCAAAGGAAATGCCCATTGGAGCATTTTGGATTTCAGCTTTTTGGATTAGAATGCAAATATTCTAGAATCTGAAATCCAAAACACTTTCGTTCCTAAGTATTTCAGATAAAGATACTCAACCCAGCAATATGTTAGGAAGTCTAGAATGTCCTGTTGCTGCTCATCTTGTTTTTTTTTTGTTTGTTTTTTTGTTTTGTTTTGGTTTTGAGTTGGCATCTCACTCTGTCGCCCAGACTGGAGTGCAATAGCCGCTCCCAGCCACCGCAGCCTCGACCTGCTGGGCTCCGACCTGCTGGGCTCCGGCGATCCTTCTGCCTCAGCCTTCCGAGTAGCCGGAACTATAGGCGCACACTACCACGCCCGGCTAATTTTTTTATTTTATTATAGAGATGAGGTCTCGCCTGCCCAGGCGGGTCTCAAACCCGCGGGCTCAGGCAGTCCACTTACCTCAGCCTCCCAAAGGCATGGGATTACAGGCTGAGCCACCGAGCCCAGCTTCGTCTTGTTTTAAGGAATGGGGGGAATATTGCATTTCTCTCTCGGCTCATAACTGGATTGTACCATTTTGATATTTCATGGAAGATGAGGTAAATCCTCAACTTGTATTCTGCCTTAGGTAGACTACAAATAGTATGTATAGCTGGGCGCGGTCACTCAAGCATGTAATGCTAGCACTTTGGGAGGTGGAAGCAAGAGGATTAGGGATTCGAGACCAGCCTGGGCAACTTGGCGAGACCTCATCTCTACGTCTCTACAATAAATAAAAAAGTTAACCAGGCATGGTAATGAGCGCCTGTAGTTCCAGCTACTTGGAAATCTGAGGCGTAAGGATCGCCTGAACCCAGCAGGTTGAGGCTGCGGTGGCTGTGAGCATGCCACTGCACCCCAGTCTGGGTGACAGAGTGAGACTACTCCAACTCAAAAAAAAAACCAAAAAAACCAAATAGTATCAAATAGTATGTATAATGACTTTAACAAAAAAGATGAAGCAGCATACATTTATTTATTTATTTTTATTTTTGATTTTAAAAAATTTTTTTGAGTTGGAGTCTCACTCTGTCACCCAGACTGGAGTGCAGTGGCACGCTTCCGGCCACCGCAGCCTCAACCTACTGGGCTCCAGCGATCCTTCTGCCTCAGCCTTCCAAGTAGCTGGAACTACAGGCGCACGCTACCACGCCCGGCTAAATTTTTTCTGATTTATTGTCGAGATGAGGTCTTGCCAAGTTGCCCGGGTGGATCTCGAACCCTCAGGCTCAGGCAACTCACTCACCTCAGGCCTGCCAAAGTGCGGGATTACAGGCTGAGCCACCGAGCTCTGCCGCGTCATACATTTAAAAGAAGTAAAGTAATTGCTCTATTTCCAGAAGATTATTATTAGTGAATTTTCTTTCTTTTTTTTTTTCTTCCTCCTCAGCCTTCCAAGTAGCTGGAAGTACAGGCGCGCACTACCAATGCCCAGCTAATTTTTTTTTATTTATTGTAGAGATGAGGTCTCACCAAGTTGCCAAGGCTGTTCTCGAATCCGTGATCTCAGGCAGTCCTCTCACCTCAGCCTCCCAAAGTGCTGGGATTACAGGCTTGAGCCACTGCGCCCGGCCTATGAATTTTCCTTAGTGGACAAGTGAACTGTTAGACACCTAAGGACACAATGATCATTTGAGAGGAAAAATACTTTGATCTTGATTTTCCCTAATCCCAGCTACTCAGGAGGGTCACCAGAGCCCAGCAGTTCAAGGCTAGTCTAGGTAACATAGAATGACCCTCTCTTTAAAAAGAAAAAAAAATTAATTTCATTTTTCTTCTTTCTGTCTACAGCGGTTGCTGATGCTATCAGAACAAGCCTTGGACCAAAAGGAATGGATAAAATGGTAAAAAGCTGAATCATTCAATATTTATTGAGCACTGCTGTTTGCGTTGTAAGATTTTGATAGAAGGTTAAGATGTACTGTATAGAAAGTAAGAAATGTTAGGTAACTTGAGGGTTCAGAGGCGGGAGAGATTACTTTGGCGTGAATAGTGGCATGAACAGGACTTAACTATAATTCATATTTTGTTTAGTGCTTTTTAAACAGTGAGAGTGCATACCCGAAAGAGGTTATCTGTTGGGTAGCTAAATGGAAAGTATAGTAATTCCAGGTCTTGGGGCTTGAGTTCAGTGGAATTTTTTTTTTTTTTTTGAATTGGAAACTCGCTTTGTCGCCCAGGCTGGAGTGCAGTGGCACGCTCACAGCCACCGCAGCCTCGACCTGCTGGGTTTAGGTGATCCTTCCAAGCAGTTAGAACTACAGGCGTGAGTCACCACGCCCAGCTAAGGTCTCGCCATGTTGCCCAGGCTGGTCTCAAACCCCTGGGTTTAGGCGATCCTTTCACCTCGGATTTCCAAAGTGCTGGGATTATAGACTTGAGCCAATGCGCTTGGCCTTTCTTCTTCTTTCTTAAAATTTTTTTAATTCATTAATTGATTTTTGAGTTCATTATTTCTTAGGGATGTAATTCTGTGTCCTAATGTGGGCCTGTGGGAGATAAAACACTATGGGACCTTGTCTGGATGATTATTCCCTCTCATTATTCTAAAATGTATCCCTTCTAAGAATGCTGTTGTCCTTTTTGAGGATACTGTTTAAAAAGTTACTGTGTTGACTATCAGAATTGTGTCCATTACATTGTATGGTACTGTCTTTTTGGGCATCTATAGTAGAAATTATGTTTTTGATTAATATGAAACCAGGAGTGATAGTGAGTCTTTATAGTATCTTTTCTGTACTCTTTTTTCCTCCCTTTTTTTTTTTTTTTCATTTTTTGAGTGGGGGTCTCACTCTGTCACCCAGGCTGGAGTGTAATGGTGTGCTCACAGTCACTGCAGCCTCAATCTTTTGGGCTCAGGCAATCCTTCCACTTTAGCCTTCCAAGGAGTTGGAACCACAAGTATGCACCACCACTGTCAGCTAATTTTTTGTTTTATTATAGAGATACAGTCTCACTATGTTGCCCAGGCTGGTCTCAGACACATGGGCCATGGGCTCGGGCAATCCTCTTGCCTCAGCCTCTCAAAGTGCTGGGATTACAGGCATGAACCACCATGCCTGGCTTCTCCTTTTTTTTTTTTTAAGTGTCTAAGTTTCTTTTTTAAAGTACCCTGGAACAAAGCCAGTTTTTTTCTTTTGTGAAGTGGGATTGTTGCTACATATTCTTAAATTATCATACTAATGTAAGGGAAAATAATTTTAAAATAAGTGCTATCCAAACATAAGTTAACTTCTTTACTATGAAGTATTAAAATTTAGTAGAGCTATTAATGTCATATTGAAATCCAACTTTTTTGAAAAAAACAAACAAATTTTTCAGATTCAGGATGGAAAAGGTGATGTGACCATAACAAATGATGGTGCCACCATTCTAAAACAGATGCAAGTATTACATCCAGCAGCCAGAATGGTAAGTATAATTTTAGGTAAGGCTTTTTTGGGGGTAGAGATGAGGTCTTGCTATGTTGCCTAGCCTGGTCACAAACTCCTGGGATTACAGGCCTGAGCCTGAGCCATTTTTAGGATGTATTTGTGTCTAGCCTTGTACTCTTGTGTGCAGGGTGATAACACAAATCAAGTTGGGTATGGCGCAGCACGTGCCTATAGTCCAAACTTTATTATTTATTTATTTATTTTTGAGTCAGAGTCTCACTCTCACCTAGGATGTAGTACAGTGGTATGCTCATGGCTATCACAACCTCAATCTGCTGGGGTCAAGCGATCCTTACACCTCAACCTTTCAAGTAACTGGAACTGCAGGCGCATGCCACCATGCCCAGCTAGTTTTTTGATTTATTGTAGCAACTGGGTCTTGCCAGTTGCCCAGGCGGGTCTGAACCTCTGGGCTCAGGCAATCCTCTCACCTCTGTCTCCCAAAGTGTGGGGATTATAGGCATGAGCCACTGTACCCAGCTTGCTTTTTTTAAAGAATAGAACAATAAACACCTTTATTGCATGAGCTACAAGAGGATTTATTTGCCTTTCCATGCCTTGATTTTCCTAGGATAGAACTCCAGCTCCTTGCCTTCTAGCTTATAGCCATCTGCTTGGCCACACAGGCCCAGTCTTGATGCAGTGCAAGCAAGAAGTTTGCCCTGCTGGATCTGCTCCAGAAGACGGCTGATTTTGGCATTCTTTTCCTTTCATTGTATTTCTTCTGAATTTTTTTGGATCATTTTTTGTTTAAAATCCCTTCCTCCTCGGGAGTCAGCTTGGTCCCCTTCTCGCGGCCCGGGGGCAGCACATAGTGAGACTTACACCACTGTCTTTATGGTATGCTGTTGATGAGCACGATGCAGTTCTTCACTAAGGTCTTGGTACGGATCAGCTGGTTATTGGGTGCATTGTAGACAACATCAGTGATGTTTGTTTTGTGAGTACAACATTCAGAGCCCCAGGAAAAGTTGCCCACATCTAGCCTCAGGGCATGATATTTATTGTTACCTCCCCACACATGGACTGTGAATGCTTTGGGGACCAGTCTTGGTGTCAGTAGTGAGTGTCCCAGCTCATTCTTCTGTTTCTTGTGGTAGAGCTTTCTCTTGCCCCCAGTCTTATGGTGCTTGTGCCAGTTGTCCCAAGAGATGCCCAGTGCTCAATGCTGGCTGAAATAAGATTTTTTTTTTTGGTAGAGCTGGGATCTCAGTGTGCTTGCCAGTTTGATCTCAAACCCCTGCCTCAGGTGATCCTTCTGCCTCTGCCTTACAAAGTGCTAGGATTACAGGCAAGAGTCACTCTACCCAGTCTAGTCCCAGCTACTCTGGAGGCTGAGGTGGGAGGATCCCTTGAGCCCAGAAATTCAAGGCTGCAGGGAGCCATGATCGTGCCATTGTAATGTGGCCTGTGTGACAGAACAAGTCCCTATCTCTAAAAAGTCACCTTGTGCTTGTCCACAGGAATATGCCATACAGTTGAGGAAGGAGGTATTAAGAACATAGATAGTACTTTTTTAGTGCAGATTATTTAGTGGATGTTAGATGGAAAAAATAATTTAAATTGTGTGCAGAATAAATTATCTCCAAGTTTGCACTGTTTATTAAAAATAATTCAATTACTGAGGATCAAAATGATGGTTATGGTGTCAAGTGAGGAGTTGCCATATCAGCAAAAACAAATGTCTTAGAAATTCCTGTCAAAAAGTCCTTTGAACTATGTAAAGATGGCTTTTTAAATGGATCAAGTTATGCTAATATGGGGTCAATTCAGATAAACCTGGGAAAAGACTCTAAACTGGTACTCTAATCTCATCTGGAGCACTCCATTTCATAGTTTTCGAATCTATTGGGTGCATCTAATACAACATTTTTGCTCTGTGGTAGGTATTTTTCTTACAGCCTGAGGGATTGGAGGGGCAGATTACATCCCACAATCTGAACCAGAGATCATGATATTGCCTCTTAGAAAGTTTATAAGTAGAATTTGTGAGCCAGAAATGTTACCAGTCTTCAATTTTAAGTGCAACCCAACATGGACAACAAATGAAAAGCCAAGCATTATATTGAATCCTCAAATTCTGTGTTTGTGTTACTGATGTGATAATTGGAATTAGGTGTTACTGGTTCTTATATTCCTCACTGAGCAATTTGACATGTTCTATTCACTTAGCTGGTGGAGCTCTCTAAGGCTCAAGATATAGAAGCAGGAGATGGTACCACATCAGTAGTCATCATTGCTGGCTCTCTCTTAGATTCTTGTACCAAGCTTCTTCAGAAAGGTAGGTAGGACTTGCTTTACTACTGAATAAAGGCAGAAAAGCTTTAAAATGTAAACTTTAGGAGAAGCCAAGGTATTCTTAAGTAATATGGGATTTAAGATTTAGTTTGGAGTAACTAATCTTTCTATCAGGAATTTTTAGAATTTTGGACGTTGCTTATTTATATTATTAACTATTAAAAAAAATTCTCTTTCACTTCTGTTATTTTCCAGGCTCCTTTTTGAAAGAAATTCAATAGAATTTCACTGTTCAAAAACGGTTTGTGGTAGTATTACTAATATTAGACTCTAAACAAGAAAGAAGATTTGGGGGAAAAGGTTAGGGTTCTGGATTTGATAAATAGTGTTTAATCATAGTGACTCTCCAGTTACTTGGTCTACTTATTATGTAGACTTGTGGTGTTTTGAAAAGTGTAAAGTTTGGTTTCAAATCTTAAGTATACCATGAGTATGTTATTGATGTATTTTAAATTAAATGGAAGTAAATTATTAGCCATAATTAGCAGTTACGGTTATTTAAAACACTATATTTACAACTGAAGGATAAGTTAGTTTATTAAGAATAGTTAAGATTGTGACTGCTTTGACACTTTTTTGCTTTGATATTTTAATGAGTAGAAAATGTTTACACTATGTTAAACATATAATTATATAATAATTTTCACAAATGACAGGGATCCATCCAACCATCATTTCCGAGTCGTTCCAGAAGGCTTTGGAAAAGGGTATTGAAATCTTGACTGACATGTCTCGACCTGTGGAACTCAGTGACAGAGAAACTTTATTAAATAGTGCAACCACTTCATTGAACTCAAAGGTGAGATGAGCACCAAAGGATAGTTGTTAGTAGGTGTTTTTGATTCTTGCTCTACACAGTACATAAAGTCTGGAAAGTTGACTAGGTAACTAATTTGCATAACTGAATTGGTTTAAATAAGATGATGAGACCAAATCTAACAGGTGTTAGAATATTTAATGCATACCATTTCTAGTTTTTCACTTAATACATTTTAATAGTATTTTGATAAAGCTCTGGATAACTTTAATTTGCCTATTAGCAACCTTTTGTCTCCCAGATCAGATTGCTATAGGCTCTCTGGCAGTATAGCTAATTTTTTATTGATTATTCAATGTGCTAGGTATTGTGATAAGTTTTTTACATTTATTACTTTCTTCAAGGCTTTCGGATAAGTGGTCATATCCCCATTTTATTGATGAGGAAAACAGATCTAGAGAAGTCAATTAACTTACCCACAAAGTCCACTAATAAGAGATAGAGCTGAGATTTGAACCTAGGGTAGGCTGCCCATTTATAATTTATCTCTTAACTAATAGACTACTTTTCTTAGTTATCAAACTTAAAGCAGTGTTGTACTTTTAAATTTCTTTGTAACTGTTTTCTGTCTTGTCATGTGTTTCCCTCCTCCAATTCTTTCATTTCCTTTTATCAGTATTAAACAGCACTTTATTTTATTTGTATGTTAAATGGAGCGTTAGATAGTATTAGTGACACTAACTGATGCTGTTGAATGTTCCCAGAACTAATAATAGGTGTTATAGGGTAATGGTTATAGACACTAGTCGTAGTGTCTAGATTGTTTGTGTTCATTCAGTGCTGGCTTCACCACTTAACTAAGCTGTGTTACTTTGGGCAAATGATTTAACATCTTGGTTTCGATTTCTCCATATGAAGATTGAACGACTTGACATGCAAAGTGCTAAGACCACTGCCTGGCACATGATAAGTAATAAAAATGTTAGCAGTTAATTGTTTTTATCAGCCTTTCTTTATTAGGGATGCACATACCACTAATATTGATGCCTGAACACACACTTACTTTAGACAGAAAACATCCACATAAAATTCATTTGTTCCTTTTTGGAATTCTTGTAAAACTGTTGTCACCTAGTCAACCCCAACTGCTATGTGAATAAAACAAAAAAGCAAGCATACATATTTCTATTTTGTACCCCTGATGACTCTCAGCCTGAGTGAAAAAGGTAGTTTGTATAGAATGTCTTCTCATGTTTCCCTTTTCCCACTTCAACCGAAAAAGTTATTAGAGCTCTTATTTAATAAGAGCTTTGAAGACCTTTTTATACTTGTAAGGCAACTTTTTTTTTTTTTTAATAATTGTAGGTTGTCTCTCAGTATTCAAGTCTGCTTTCTCCAATGAGTGTAAATGCAGTGATGAAAGTGATTGACCCAGGCACAGCCACAAGTGTAGATCTTAGAGACATTAAAATAGTTAAGAAGCTTGGGTAAGTATCTCTAATTACAACTTTAATAACAATTTGAAAGTGAGCATAAGCTTTTGCCAAAAATAATAGGCTAAGTGAAAATCACCTAGATGAATGAGGCGCAAAGCTCTCTTCCTTTTCAGTTTTGTTTTCGTGATAACTTATATTAATATGAGAATCTCAAGATTTTGTTTATATTTCCGTATGATAGTAGGGCAATAATGGATCAAAGAGGTCCAGGAATGGAGCAATAATAAATGTGAGGCTGAAGCATATTATATTGGATGATTTTTAATTTGTTAGCAATCTATTAAACTCATAGATTTTTGTTTCCTCTTAACTATCCCCTCCTTGTTTTCTTTCTTCATAGTGGGACTATTGATGACTGTGAGTTGGTAGAAGGACTGGTTCTCACACAAAAAGTGGCAAATTCTGGCATAACCAGAGTAGAAAAAGCTAAGATTGGTCTTATTCAGTTTTGCTTATCTGCTCCCAAAACAGATGTAAGTAGAATCCAATAGAAATTGGTTTCTTGTTTATCTGTTTTACTTTCTGATATCTCAATTATTTATTCATTAAAAATAGGAAATGCTGACAGTGATTAAAAGTATACATCCCAAACAAACTAGTAGAGTTGAGACAAAAATAGAAATTGTTGGTGCCACAAGTGGCAAATCTATATTTTCAATCGGATATTGAAATTGAGTGCTAACCAAATGCAGTAGTGTGCACATATAGTCCCAGCTATTCTGAAGGTTGAAATGGAAGTATCACTTGAGCCCAGGGGTTTAAGGCTGCAGTATGCTGTGACCTCGCCTGTGAATAGGCAGTGCACTCCAACTTGGGTAACATAGCGAAACCCTGTTTTCAAAAAAAAAAAAAATGTTTTTTTGAGTTAGAGTCTCATTCTATTGCCCAGACTGAAGTGCAGTGGCATGATCACGGCTCACCACAGCCTCCTGGGCTCAGGAGATCCTTCCACTTCAGCCTTCCAAGTAGCTAGGAGGTACATGCCACTACACCTAGCTAATTTTTAAAAATTTTTTGTAGAGACGAAGTCTCCCTGTGTTGACTGGGCTGGTTTCAAACTTCTGGGCTCAGGCTGTCTTCCTGCCTCAGCCTCCCAAAGTGCTGAGATTACAGGCATGAGCCACCAAGCCTGGCCAAAAAAAAAATTTTAAATAGGATAATTGTTTTACTTTTTTTTTTTGAGTTGGAGTTGCACTCTGTCGATCCGACTGGAGTGCAGTGGCCGCTCCCGGCCACCGCAGCCTCAACCTACTGTGCTCTGCTGATCCTTCTGCCTCAGCCTTCCAAGTAGCTGGAACTACAGGCGCACGCTACCACGCCCGGCTAATTTTTGATTTATTGTAGAAATGAGGTCTCGTCAAGTTGCCCAGGTGGGTCTTGAACCCGCGGGCTCAGGCAGTCCACTCACCTTGGCCTCCCAAAGTGCTGGGATTACAGGCTGAGCCACCGAGCCTGGCCGTTTTACATTTTTTGAGCATCAAAAGCGTGCTTGCAAAAAATTAAGACAGCAGTGGATCTAGTTGAAAGTTAAAGACCCAAGTTTGGCGAATATATATCTTTTCATACTTTTTTTCTTTGAGTTGGAGTCTCACTCCATCACCCAGACCACCCCAGCATCGACCTGCTGGGCTCCGGTGCTCCTTTCGCCTCAGCCTTCCAAGTAGCTTGAACTACAGGCGCACGCTACCATGCCCTGCTAATTTTTGATTTATTGTAGAGACGAGGTATCACCAAGTTGCCCGGGCTGGTCTCGAACCTGCAGGCTCCGGCAGTCCACTCACCTCGGCCTCCCAAAGTGCCGGGATTACAGGCTGAGTCACTGAGCCTGGCCTCAACACATTTTTCTATGCACATTTATATCATTTATTGCTTGGTATGATTTTGGTTGAATTTACACTGTATATTTTATTTTTACTTAAAAGACTTCTAATTTTAAACTTAAAATCTCTATGGTACAAATCATTCTTTTTCTAAACAGATGGATAATCAAATAGTGGTTTCTGACTATGCTCAGATGGACCGAGTGCTGCGAGAAGAGAGAGCCTATATTTTAAATTTAGTGAAGCAAATTAAAAAGACAGGATGTAATGTCCTTCTCATACAGAAGTCTATTCTAAGGTGAGGGGCTGTTTTTTTTTTTGTTTGTCCTGTAATGATAATGATAATCAGTTTTGGATCCCCCTGGTGATTTTCTTTTTTGAATTGGAGTCTCCCAGACTGGAGTGCAGTGGCATACTCAAAGCCACCAAGGCCTCAACCTGCTGGACTCCAGTGATCCTTCTGCGTCAGCCTCCCAAGTAGCTGGAACTACAGGTTCATGCCACCACGCCCAGCTAGTTTTTTGATTTTTTGTAGAGACAAAGTCTCGTCAAGTTGCCCAAGCTGGTCTTGAACCCTGGCTCAGGCAGTCCCCTCGCCTCGGCCTCCCAAAGTGCTGGGATTACAGACTTGAGCCACTGCACCTAGGTGAATTTTTTTAAGATGAGATCTATGTTGCCCAGGCTGGGCTCAAAATTTTGGATTCAAATGATTCTCTCACCTTGGCTTCCTTCACTGCTAGGATTATAAACATGAGCCACCACATTCAACCCCCACTAGCAGTTTTTAAAGAAATGTTTGAAGTGGATAAACCACCAGAAACCTAGAACAAATCCACATTTGGGGCCATTTTTTTTTTCTCCTTTTAGTGACAAGCTAAAAGCATCATTATATTTTGATAAAAATTGGTTTTCTTGCCTTTGTGGTAATTTAAATGTGGGATATGTAATCTTTCTAAACCAAGGTACTAAATATCAAGCCTTGTTTTTAAAAAGGTGTTTGTTCTAAAAGTAATTAGCAAAAAGAGGCATTTATCTAAAAGTCAATGCAATTGTTTACTTTGTCATTTAGAGGTTGTTTTTTGTTAAGTTGGAGTCTTGCTCTGTTGCCCAGGCTAAAGTGCAGTGGCACTCTCATGGCCACCACAGCCTCGACCTGCTGGATTCAGGTCATCCTTCTGCCTCAGCCTTCCAAGTAGCTGGAACCACAGGCATGTGCCACCACACCTGGCTAATTTTTTTTTTTTTTTTTTATATTGTAGAGACAAGGTCTCACCCTGTTGATTAGGCTGGTCTTGAACTCCTGAGCTCAGGCAGTCCTCTCACCTCAGCCTCCCAAAGTGCTGAGATTACAGGCATGGACCATTGCACCCAGCTAGAGGTTGATGGAGGAAATGTTTTAGATACTCCATAGATGAATTTCTCCAAACAGATCTCTTATTTTTCTTCAATATTTTCTTTATTTTTTTTTTTTTGAGTCAGAGTCTCACTCCGTTGCCCAGACTGGAGTGCAGTGGCCACTCCCAGCCACCACAGCCTCGACCTGCTGGGCACCGGCGATTCTTCCGCCTCAGCCTTCCAAGTAGCTGGAACTACAGGCACATGCTACCATGCCCGGCTAATTTTTTATTTGTTGTAGAGATGAGGTCTCACCAAGTTGCCCAGGCGGGTCTCAAACCCGCGGGCTCAGGCAATCCACAATATTTTCTAATAAGTAGATACATTCCCATTTACTCCCTTGATCTCCCAGAAAGTACTATGGGTGCTTATTATTTTATAGAGTCCTTGATAAAGAGTCAGAAGACCCAGTTCTAATTCCACATCATGTAATAGCTACTGACTTTGAGTAAATTGTCCTCCAAATTCAGTGTGCTTATCTATATAACAAGGATATATAGGGTTGTTAGAAGGCTCATTTCAGATAACTTGTGAGGAAGTACATATTTGTAGAGTCTGAATTAATAAATAATTCTAAATTCATGGAATATCAGTAAGCTTTCAGTTACTAAACTGCTTATTTGTTAAAAATAGTAATCCGATTGTCTTGTGGGTTTTATAGTGTCATTGGAGGGGGGGTAGGGTATATTTTAATATTAAGATTGCAATAAAATTTCTAATTCTATTCAAAATCTTATTTTAAGGATTTTTGAGCTTATAAAGTTAGTAAACTTACTAAAGCAGGATTTTCATTTTTTGGTTTTTTTTTACAAATAATATGATTGGTCATTTAGAAAATGGTAAAAGAATTAATAAAACCTTAAAAGCACTTGAAGAGCAAAAATTTTTTTAACCTAGTATTGACATAATTTCTGATTTTTGTATTTTAGAGATGCTCTTAGTGATCTTGCATTACATTTTTTGAACAAAATGAAGATCATGGTGATTAAGGATATTGAAAGAGAAGACATTGAATTCATTTGTAAGGTAAAATATTAGCAACTGTATTTGTGAAAATGTGTAACTGTCAAGTCAATAATACTTTAATTTGTGAATTTGATTTTTTTCCAGACAATTGGAACCAAGCCAGTTGCTCATATTGACCAATTCACTGCTGACATGCTGGGTTCAGCTGAGTTGGCTGAGGAGGTCAATTTGAATGGTTCTGGCAAACTGATCAAGGTAACTGTATGATTAAATTTTTTGCCTCAGTTTTTGTTTTCTGTTGTTTGTTGGTTTTTTTTTTTTAATCCTTCAGATCCCTAATTTGGAATTTATTTCCTAAAGATCACAGGCTGTGCCAGCCCTGGAAAAACAGTTACAATTGTTGTTCGTGGTTCTAACAAACTGGTGATTGAAGAAGCTGAGCGTTCCATTCATGATGCCCTTTGCGTTATTCGCTGTTTAGTGAAGAAGAGGTAATTTAAATGTTACATTATAAAGTAATATTTTGAACATTGACTACTGTATTTTGACTGTGTTTAAGGTATAAGTAGTAAGTTATTAGAAGTAACTTTCTGTTAAGTAAACTTTTAAAAATTTGTGAATTTCAGAGCTCTTATTGCAGGAGGTGGTGCTCCAGAAATAGAGTTGGCCCTACGATTAACTGAATATTCACGAACATTGAGTGGTATGGAATCCTACTGCATTCGTGCTTTTGCAGATGCTATGGAGGTCATTCCATCTACGCTAGCTGAAAATGCTGGCCTGAATCCCATTTCTACTGTAACAGAACTAAGAAATCGGCACGCCCAAGGAGAAAAAACTACAGGCATTAATGTCCGAAAGGTAATTATTTAATCTTAGTTATTGCAGGAAAAGTTTATTAATTTAAAAATACTTAAAACTTGATAGTTATCTATTTAATGCATAACTTTGTAATTTAAAAATCCATAATCTTGAATTTAAATATAAGACCTGCTGCAGGTTAATTAATATAAGCCATTGAATGAGAAAGCAGATGTTGCCTTAGTTTGAAACATTTTTTATTAAATCTGCCACTTATTGACTGTGATTTTTAGCAAGTTACTTAGTCTGTTCAGGTTGATCAGTTGTAAAGTTGGGGTAATTAATAGTTCCCTCATATGCCTGTTGTGAGGATTAAATGCATTGCTGAGTAGAAAGCTCTTAGATCTGTGTACCTAACCCTGAATTATACCCCACATCTTTAAAATAAAAAATTCTGGCCGGGCTCAGTGACAGCCTGTAATCCCAGCACTATGGGAGGCCGAGGCGAGTATATTGCCTGAGTCCGTGGGTTTGAGACCCACCGGGCAAATTGGCAAGACCTTGTCTCTACAACAAATCAGAAATTAGCTGGGCGTGGTAGCACGTGTCTGTAGTTCCGGCTACTTGGAAGGCTAAGGCGGAAGGATCACCAGAGCCCAGCAGGTTGAGGCTGCAGTGGGTGGGAGCATGCCACTGCACTCTAGTCTGGGCGACAGAGTGAGACTCCAACTAAAAAAAAAAATTCTGAAATTAAAAAAAAAGCTCTTAGATGAATGCTTGGCATATAGTAAACACTGTAAGTATTAATCATTGTTCCTGTTGTGAGCACCAGCTAGTGTAGTTATGTAGAGTATACACCTAGAAAGTTAATAGTGTTCCCTTAATATTAATGTTTTATTAAGAAGACAAATAATATATGACGGGGAAAAAACAAAAGTCCAAGATACTTTTTGAATGGTACAGAACTCCAAAGGACTGCACTACCTGGTTAGGGAAGACCCATGAAGATGCAGCTTTGGTAGAAGATACGGAAATTTCAGATGGGGAAGCAAATGGTTTTAAGTGAAAAAGACCAAGCAGTTATTCACTTGTGTAGAACAGAGGTTGTATGTTGATAGTGTAGTGGACTTTAAGATTGGAAAGGTCAGATAAAAGCTAGAGCAAGAGGCTTTTGGTTAGGGACGCAAGCTTTTCTTCTAATAGTTGGGATCTACTAAGGTTCTTTTAAGCAAGAGATAAAGGTGACGAAAAGTATTTTAAGGAAGAAAAGCTGGGCGTAGGGATACCTGCTATGGCCATCAGCAGTTGTCTTCAGATAAAGAGAACTAGGGCTGTATAGTGAATAATTTTTTTTTTTCGAGTCAGACTCTCACTCTGTTGCCCAGGCTGGAGTGCAGTGGCACATTCATGGCCACCACAGCCTCACCCTGCTGGGCTCAGGCAGTCCTTCCACCTCAGGCTTCCAAGAAACTAGAACTACAGGTGTGCACCACCATACCCGGCTAATTTTATGATTTATTATAGAGATGGGGTCTTGCCATGTTGCTCACTCTGCTCAAACCCCTGAGCTCAGGCAAGCCACTCTCCTCCATCTCCCAAAGTGCTGGGATTGTAGGCATGAGACACCATACCCAGCCCAGTGAAGAATTTAAGGTAGGAAATACGGGAGATATAAAGGAAGAATAGACCAGACTTGGCCTAATTCAGAATTAAAATACAGAGTTGATTTAAGCATCAAAGATCTCATAACTTTCAGCTATGTGCTATGATAATCTACCTAATTTTGCCATTATATTTAAAAGTAAACAATACTCACAAAGTTGTTTTGGAGTTAGGATTAGGGGAATCCAGCATTAATTCCATTTTTCCAAATTTTAGTTGACATACAACCTACATTGTAGAGAGAGCTTAGTAGAGTATCTTACTCTGATGTTCCTAGACCAAAGGAAAACTAGGTTTGAAAAGGGCTTGAGGCATACTGGTGATAGAGTAGTTTGTTGATGTGTATAATTGCAAACACTAAAAGCAACTTGTGCTGATTTGCAGGGTGGTATTTCCAATATTTTAGAGGAACTGGTTGTCCAACCTCTGTTGGTTTCCGTCAGTGCTCTGACTCTAGCAACTGAAACTGTCCGGAGCATTCTGAAAATTGATGATGTGGTAAGTATATATAGACTGCAAATTTCCTTACAAGGTGAAAAAGGCATGTGTATTTGAAGATTTTTATTTTTTAAAGAAAAATTTTTTTTTTTTTTTTTGAGTAAGGGTCTCACCCTGCCACTTGGGCTGGGCAGTGGCATGCTCTTACTGCTCACCCTAGCCTCGAACTCCTGGGCTAAAATGATTCTTCTCCCTCAACCTCCTGAATAACTGAGATTACCTACAGTCGTGTGCCACCATGTCTGGCTAGTTTTTGTTTTTGTTTTTCTTTTTTGTAGAAACAAGGTCTCGCTGTGTCGCCCAGGCTGGTCTTGGAACTCCCGGGCTCAAGCAACCCTTCTACCTCAGCTTCCCAAAGTGCTGGGATTATAGGCATACCCAGCATGGTTTTTATTTTTGATAAGTGCTAGTCATCAGGGTGAAAATTGTTCATACTTAATACAGCTTTTCCTCACCTGTAAAAATAGAGGGAATTTGGTTAATTGCCTTAAACTTTTTCCATCCTTAAAATTCTGTCATTACTAGTTTTGAAACCTAGATATTTTTTCTTACCAGGTAAACACTCGATAATCTGGATAACTGGCTCACCACCAGTACTGTGGCTAGAGTGGAAGAAGATTGCCTAGGTGTTCCTTGTTGTTAAGAAGATTGTTTCCTCTGTGAATTCCTGGTCATGGTCTTTCAGTTGGCATTTGCTCAAAACTGTATTGAAACAATTTAATGAAAATATAAAATATTTGATTTCAAAAGGTAGATTAATATTTGTTCTCCCCTCCAGCATCTTATTATTTCTGATAATTTTTTAAAATCTATATAAGAAATGGGGAAAGATGAGTTTACGTTTTGACTTTGTTTTTTGAGTCGAATCTCACTCTGTCACCCAGGCTGGAGTGTAGTGACATAGAACATGGCTCACCACAGCCTTGACTTCCTAGGCTCAGGTGATCCTTCTGCCTTGGCCTCCCAAGTAGCTGGCTTTTTTTTTTTTTTTTTTTTTTTTTAGAAACAGCAAGTTCTTACTGTGCTGCCTAGGCAGCTCTTAAACTATCTGTCCTCAAGCAGTCCTCCCACCTCAGTCTCCCACAGTGTTGGGATTTCAGGTGTGAGCCACTACGCCCAGCCTACATACTAACTTTCTTATGACTTAATGCTGGATACTTTTCTCAAGTTTTACTCCGCATAGACATTTATCCATTCCATTGATTTAAGTGTTTTGTTTTGAAGAAGACGTTTAGAAGAAATAAGTGGCCCAGTAGGCTCATCACCAATAAATGCCCATTGGCATAAAAACTATCAGTGTAATATATTGCTGTTTTAAAAGTTAATGATACAGAAATGTACAAATCAAAACATGAAAGCACCTCTTTATCCTGTTATCCTAATCTTTTCCCCAATAGTAACCACTGCTGTGTTAATTGGATTCCGCCTACAAATTATAGTGTGCATATATGTAGCAAATCTTACACAAAAGGGATTCTTAACATATTTTGTTTCAGTGGTTTTAAACTTGATTGTCCTTGACCCTGATCCAAGTATCATCATCTCACCTTGAATAGTATCAAATCTATAGTCTCAGCCCTTGTAGCCATTTTCCAATCTATTCTGCACACATTAAAACTGGTGATCTTTTAAAACTTGTGGAGCAACTCCCTTTTATAAAAGCTTTCATGCCTTAGGACAAAGGCCAGACCTGTAGGATGAACTGCAAGTTTAGCCTACACAATTCGGTACTTAACCCACCCTCTCCTCTTGGGTATTTAACGGAGTGTGATGAAAGCGATCAGGCCCCTCAGGATTAGAAAGAATTTAGCAGCCAGTTTGAAACTTCTCTTGTATCATAGAACTCAGCTAACTAACTTGGTAAATAATATTCAAATATTATTAGATAAGGATTTCTGTATTATCTGGAATTTAATAGTTTCATTTATTTCTCATTAATAGATGACTAAGAGCTTTGTGAAATATGCTAATTCTTAGCTGCTATAAAACAACTGAATTGGGTGTATCCAAAGGTCTTTGACGTCAAAGTACTACTCTAACCTATATTTAAACATCTGCCAGTTTTGCAACACACAGTGTTTTTTTGGTTTTGCTTTTATTTATTTTATTTTTTCATTTTTATTTTTTTGAGTTGGAGTCTCACTCTGTCCCCCAAACTGGAAGGCAGTGGCATGCTCCTGGCCACCGCAGCCTCGACCTGATGGGCTCTGGCGATCCTTCCATCTCAGCCTTCCAAGTAACTGGAACTATAGACACGCGCTACCACGTGGTTTTGTTTTTAAAAAGAGGCCACAGGGTTTTGCTATATTACCCAGGCTGGAATGCGGTAGTTAATTATAGCCACAGACAACACACTACAGCCTCAAACTCCTGGGCTCAAATGATCCTCCTCCTCCTGCCTCCAAAATAATTGGAACTACCAGCTCGTTCCACTGTGCCCTATTAGCTGCACAAGATTTTGTGTCTTATACTAGTTTATATAACAAATTTTGGGGATTTTTAGAGTCAGAGTCTCACTCTCACCCAGGCTGGAGTGCAGTGACACGCCCATGGCCACCCCAGCCTCAGCTTGCTGGGCTGAGGTCATCCTTCCACCTCAACCTTTCAAGTAGCTGGGACAATAGGTGTGTTTCCCAGCTAATTTTTTGATTTATTAGAGCAAGCAAGATGTTTTCTAATGATTGGTTCTGTTAAATTTGCTTTGGTATAAATTAAACCACTAAGTACTTTGTTTAGGAATGACTTGGGTTTTATAAAAGCTTGCAATATCATCCAAACCAGCTCTATTTTAGAAAATGGAAGACAAAATAAGAAAGTTCTCAGATAAAGAGGTTTGATACAATTAGATAATTTTAAAGCAACGAAAGGGAAATGTGTTCTGTTAAACATTTAAAAGGTATATTTTCAGTTAACAAAAAGAGACATGACTGTACCATAAAAGACAGAGATTTTGTTTGCTCTTCTTGTTTGCTATTTATTCCTGTTTTTATTAAGAAAAATGTTAAATATGTAGGAAAGTTTAAAGAATATTATGAATATCGTATACCCTCCACCTAGATTGAACTATTGCCTACAGTTATTTCTGTAGCATGATGGACCTAGAAATCACCATGGTATGCAAAATTACAGTAGAAACCACAGGACTTGAAGTGAGGGGATGTAGACAGGGTACATAACACACAAAAACATCAACAAAGATGGAATCTATTAAAAATGATAACAGTTTTATACATGTTGAATGGTTAAGAAATAATGCATTAAATATGCACTTTACCTTGAAAAACCTGAAGCTTGCTTGTGGAATTGTTAGAAGAGTTGTGCCCAGAGTTTCTGCAAAGTGGTAGGAATGTGTATAACAAGGTGTGGACAGGTGTGGGGCTTATAACAATGAATTGATGTATGTATGTGTTTTGCATTATTTGTGTTCTGTGTTCTTAGGCAGCTTGATTGAGATGAATGCAGCATTCTTTTCACCTGTTCTGAGGGATTGACATAAGCAAATGCGAAGTTAGCATTTTATGCAAATTGCTCAGTAAGGGTTGCTTTGGAACAAACTGGTTTTCAAAAACAATCATATTAGCCTGTTTACTTTTGAATCATTTGAAAGTAAGTTGAAGACTTCGTAAGTACTCAAACCTGCATTTCCTAAGAATGAGGACGTTTTCGTAAAAGAGTATTTTATAATGTCTAACCCTCAATCCCAATCAGATTTTTCTTCTTTTTTTTTTTTTTAGTTGGAGTCTCACTCTGTTGCCCAGACTGAAGCACAGTGGCACAGTCACAGCTTACCACAGCCTCAGCTTACCACAGCCTCAGCTTTCTGGGCTCAGGCAGTCTTTTTACCTCAGCCTCCTGAGTAGCTGGGACTACAGGCACATGCCCTCAGACCTAGCTAATTATTTTATTTTTTGCAGAGATGAGGTCCAGCTCTGTTGCCTGGGCTGGTCTCGAACTCCTTAGCTCAAGTGATCCTCCCGCCTCAGCCTCCCAAAGTGCTGGGATTACAGGTATGAGCTACTGTGTTCAGCTCATATTCAGATTTTTCTAACTCTACAGAATCTATTTTTTACCTTGTGTTTTAAACCAAGATCCATTTGTTGTTCACACATTGCATTTACTTGTTAGGTCTCACCAGTCTCTAATCTGTATTCACCCCTACGTTTTATTCATCTTGTTCCTTTATTTTCTGTGAAATCCAAAATTAGCACAAAAAAATTAAAAAGGCTTAGGTTCAGATAAAACTTGGGCGAAATATTTCATTGGGGATGTGGTATTTGTAGCACATCCGCAGTAGGGTTGTCCAGAGAAATAATCAATAGGATATAGATGTATTTTTAGAAAGATTCATTACGAGGTATTGGATCATACAATTAGGCCAAGAAGTTCCACAATGTGCCATTTGCAAGCTGGAAACCTGGGGAAATTTGGAAGTTCAAAGTCCTGAAAACCAGGGGCTCAGCGGGTAGGAGATCTATGTCCCAGCTCAACAGAGAACAAATTAAACTTCCCTCTGCCTAAAATTTTCTATCCAGGCTTTTGACAGGTGGAATGATGCCCACCGACATTGGGGAGGCTATCTGCTTTGTACTCAGTTCACCAGTTCAGATGTTGATCTCGCCGTTACAGAAACGTTTTGCCCAACTAAACATCCCTTGGCTCAATCAAGTTGACACGTAAAATTTATCATCACAGATCCAAACATTGTCTTGGCCACATAAACATCTCCCTAAACTAGAATTTCACTTACCCCTTCTTCATAAGAGGAGTTAAAGTCCTTGAATGATGTTGACTGCTTTTTTTTTTTTTGAGTCAGAATCTCTGTCACCCATGTTGGAGACACTCATGGCTACCCAGCCTTGACCTGTTGGGCTCAAGTGATCCTTCTGCCTCCACCTTCCAAGTAGCTGGAACTATAAGCATGCACCACCATGTTTGACTAATTTTTTGTTTTTTAATTGTAGAGACAGGTCTCACCAAGTTGCCCAAGCCATCCTCTTGCCTCTGCTTCCCAAAGTACTGGAATTACAGGTGTGAGCTACTGTGCCCAGCAATGTTTTCTTTTCTTGATATCCCAAAGCTGAAATACTGTGAATGTAAAAATTTGTTTTTTTGAGTCGCCCTGACTGTAGTGCAGTAGCATGTGCTCACAGCCACTGCAGTCTCAACCTGCTGGGCTTGGTGATCCACCTCAGCCTTCCAATCAGCTGGAACTACAGGTGTGCACCACCATGCCCAGCTTGTTTTTTGATTTATTGTAGAGATAAGTGGCACCACTCACTACTACACCGTGTCCTACTAGCAAAATTTTTGCTACCTCTTATGACTTAGGGTGCTGCTGGCCTAGGGGTCTTCATTCCAGAGGGAAAATGCTTTCACCAGCAAATAGTAATGCCAGTGAACTGCAAGTTAAGACTGTCACCTGGCCCTTTTTGGCTCTTTATACCACTGAGTAACAGGCAAAGGAGTTATGGTGCTGGCTGGCGTGATAGACTGCCAAGGGGAAATTGGATTGCTACTCCATAATAGAGCTAAGGAAGAGCATGTTTAGAATACAAGAGATCCATGTTTGGGAGGTAAAGAATGGAAGATCCTTTGCTCTGAGATGAAGAAGGTGATGCCCTTTGTTTTGGAAGGGAAAATGGAGAAGAATATCTCCTCTATTTTGGAAGAGGGTATCTTGTTGGGGAAAGGTGAGTGTCGACAAGGGGGGAGGAAAAAGCCCCTCCAGGTAGGGTCAAGAGACCTGCACTGCAGCTGAGGAGGAGGAGTGAGAGATGGAAAATGTGTCTTTCAGTGGGTGCTGGGGAAGGACTCCTCCCTCC